AGCCACTAAGGCGTGGGCAGGCGAGCCCTGAGCAGCAGCAGCAGCGCAGCAGCAACAAAACAGAAGCATGCAGCAGCAGCAGCAGCAGCAGCAGCTCGACGCAGAGAGTCAGGAAGAAAACAAAGCGCTTCGAGAGTGCACACATGAAAGGAAACTTAGCGCAAGCTGCTGCAGCAAAAGCTTGCTGCTGCAGCAAAAGCTCCCAAATCTAAAGAGCTGACGCAAGCAAAAGAAACATCAAAAAGAAAATTAAAACAAAGAAAACGAAGCAGCAGCAAAATGCATTAAAGCCACCAAAGACGGAGGCCGTGGGCTGCAGCAAAAGTCAGAAAACGAGATTTTCATTTGTGGGGAAATTTGTGCCATTTGCTGCCTCAGCCAAATCTGTATTGTCTTTTCAAGCCTCAGTTCCTTCAGGAATATAAAAAGGATATTTAAAACAATTTAAAATTTAATTTAATTTGAAAATAGTTCCCTAATTTAGGAAAACAAATCTGTACACGTGCTGCTGCACTACATATTTGCACTCGTGTTAACAGCAGCACAGCAGCAGCAGCAGCAGCAGCAGCAGCAGCAAGAGTAAACGGCAAAGCTTGAAACTAAAACTTCATCGAATAAAAGGCCAGAGTGCAGCAAATAAAGCAGCAAAAGAAGAACACCACCACAGGAACCTTCAAGACGCAGAATCCGCAAGACAGCAGCAAAGCCAGAGATGTCAGCAGCAGCAGCAGCAGCAGCAGCAGCAGCAGCAGCAGCAGCAGCAGCAACACACCGAAAAGAGCCTCCTGCCGTGGAAGTACATTGCTGCTTTGTCTGCTGCTTCTGCTGAGTCATAGTCTATGGAAGCGTTGCCCCACATGCCGCACTTGGGCTCGTAATTTATGTGGACTACTGCTGCTGCTGTTGCTGCTGCTGCTGCTGCTGCCAGCAGCGTGTGCTGCGTCACATTCGGGGGGATATTCCCCACAAACACGCGGCCCCCTCGCCGCCGCTGCTGCTGCTGCTGCAGACCATCTTGGGGCAGAGCGACAGAGGACCCCGCCTGCTGCTGCTGCTGCTGCTGCTGCTGCTGCTGCTGCTGCTGCTGCTTCTGCTCGCCACCTTTCCCCACATTACGTGGGAGGCAGCTGACGGCACTGTTCTTCGCCGAAGCAGCAGCAGCAGAAATTACTGCTGCTGCTGCTACTGCTGCAGAAGTGGCAAAAACGCCATCACCAAGTGCCTCCTGCTGCTGCCCACCATTGCTGCTGCTGCTGCTGCTCGTGCTGCTGCTGCTGCAGACGGCTGACACAGGCACAGCCGGGAGGCTCTTGCTGAGAAGCTGCTGCTGCCCCTTTGAATCGCCTCTTTGCTGCAGCAGCTGCAGAGAGCCGACGGACGCCGGCTGCTTCAGTTGCTGCTGCTGTTGCTGCTGCTGCTGCTGTTGCTGCTGTGATCGGTTCTTCCTATTGGTGCGGTCTTTCTCCTTCTTCGGCACCCCACTGCCTGTTCCGGCTGCTGCTGCTGCTGCTGCTGCTGCTGCAACAGCAATGCCGGCCATAGCAGCTTCTGCGGCGGCGTCTGCAGCAGACACTACGGGAGCAGCAGCAGCAGCAGCAGCAGCAGCAGCAGCTTGGCTGTCGTGCGTCTGGGGGAGTGAAACTAGTGGCTGCCCCCTGCGCTGCTGCTTCGCGTCCTGTTGCTGGTGCTGTTGTTGCTGCTGCTGCTGTTGCTGCTGTTGCTGCTGCGGTTGCGGTTGCTGCTGCTTTTGCTGCAGCTGCTGTTGCTGTTGCTGCTGCTGCTGCTTTTGTTGCTGTTTCAGGGCGATCTGCTGGTGCTTGTGGGGGAATGGTGCGGACGATGACCCTTGCTGCTGCAGCTGCTGCTCCAGCTGCTGCTGCTGCTGCTGCTGCTCCAATGGAGGCCCAAACTGCGGTCCGCTGCTGCTGCTGCTGCTGGTGCTGCTGCTGTCGCTGCTGCGGGCCAAAACTGGCACTGGCTCGGATGGCAGCAACGGGAGATGCACCTCAGCAGCAGCAGCAGCTTCGGCCTCTGACTCTGCTGCTGCAGCTGCTGCAAGGGCTGCTGCAGCAGCAGCAGGAGCTGCTGCAGCGAGACTGCTGCTATCTGCTGCCTCCGGTGCGTGTGGTGCCATAGTAGAATGACATGAGAAGCAAGACAGCACAGCTCGGGGGGCCTCAGCAGCAGCAGCAGCAGCAGCAGCAGCAGCAGCAGCAGCAGAGGCGAACCTTATCTTAGGGTCCTCTCTTCTATTTGCTTCTTAAAAGAAAACCCAGAAAAACAAAAAGAAACAAAACCCCCACGGGGGAAGTCTACTGCTAAAACGTGGAAGGGGCTGTTGCTGCAGCTGCTGCTGCTGCTGCTGCTGCTGCTGCTGCGCTGCTGCGACTACTGCTATTTCAGCCGATGCTCCAGCAGCTGCACATTATACTGCTGCTGCTGCTGCTGCTGCTGCTGCTGCTGCCTGAAGCGAGACTTTCTTGCTGCGCTGCGCCTCTGCTTCGGCAACTGAGCCCTCTTTGGCGGTGCTGCTGCTAAGAAGCAAAACAATAACTTAGAAGGATAGCCGAAGCGCTGCTGCAGCAGATTTGTCCCCCCTGCAGCAGCCGCTGCTGGCGCTGCTGCTGCAGGCCTTGCTGCTGCTGCTGGTGCTGCTGGTGCTGCTGCTGCTCGAAGCCATTAAGTGGGACCCTGAGGCTACTCTGAGCCTCAATAATTCCCTGGAAGAACGGAAGGAAGGGCAGCACGCAGTCCTGCAGCAGCAGCCAGGGCTGCAACTGCTGCTCCCGGTGCAGCAGCAGCAGCAGCAGCAGCAGCCCGTGAGGGGCCTTCTGAGGATGCACAGATTGAATGCAGGCTTGCTGCTGCTGCTTCGGAGATCCTTCAGGCGCCGAGACCCGCAGCTTGCGCTGGAAAATAAGTGGATTTTGCTGCGGCTGCAGATGGAAGGAACCGCAGCGAAAGAAGGAGGAGCGAGAGCAGCAGGAGCAGCAGCAGCAGCAGCAGCAGCAGTCCTGAAACGGATCCCACTGCAGCGCCCCAGCATCTGAAACCTCCCTGCTAGCTTACTATATATCCCTCGAAAACAAGAAGAGCTACAGCTGAGCCCAATCTCACAAGCCCCCAAACCCTTCAGACCGCCTCCAGCAGCAGCAGCAGCAGCAGCAGCAGCAGCAGCAGCAGCAGCAGCAGCAGCAGCAGGACCTTGTGAACTGTGTGGTCGCTGCAGCAGCTCCTATCCCAGCCGTCCACAGCCGCACCCTTTGAGTATTTTTTAGATCTGTTCCATTTAAGTTATAAAAATTAAAACAAATCAAATTTCAGAGTTAAATTTCTCTAAGATGGACAAGAATGGGCCTCGCCGCAGGCGCGCTGCTGCTGCTGCTGCTGCTGCTTGGGAGGTATCCCAGCAGTGCCTTGGTGACACTACGCTAGCCTGAGTGCTGCAAATAAGAGCATTAAGGGTTTATTTCTTTTTATTTTTTCCATTTTAATTTTTACGGGTCTTTTAGAGCCTCCACACTGAAGCCAGGAGGCATCCTTCTGCTGCACGCATCAGCGCTGCTGCTGCTGCTGCTGCTGCTGCTGCTGCTGCCGTCCCGTTGCTGCAGTGCCTGCCGATTCACCACCTTCTGCATTGGTGCGTAGGTCTGGGCTTTGGTTTTTCCGGCAGGGTTTGGCAAAAGGGACTCACAGGAACCCTCAAGGGTTTAGGGTTTAGGGTTTAGGGTTTGGGGCAGCTGTTGGGAGCCTGCACCTACATCCTAGGCCGGGCTGCTCTGCAGTTCTGCACTGGAAGCCAAGATGGGGGTTTAGCTGTCTCACAGTCTACAAGGGGTTAAGTAGGGTTTGCTGCAGCTGTTTAGGGTTTGGAGTTAAGTTTTAGGGTTTAGGGTTTGCTAGGGTTTAGGGGGGCTTTCACCCGCCAAACCCTCGATTAGCGTGTAGGCCAAAACACCTCTAAGTTGTGATTTGCGAGGGTTTGGCTTTGGCCGTTTTAGAAGCCAGAGTGGGGCGTCTGAAAGTTGCTGCTGCTGCTGCTGCTGCCGCTGCAGCGGCTGCTGCGGCGCTCGCTGCTGCAGCGGCTGCTGCTGCGGCGCTTGCTTGCTGCTGCAGCGGCTGCTGCTGCAGCGGCTGCTGCTGCAGCAGGTGCTGCTGCAGCAGGTGCTGCAGCAGCGCCTCATATGTTCTGTTCTATTCTGAAGTCTCGAACTAACACGCCCCTCAAGAGCTGGAGCAGCCACGGCACTTCACGGAATTCAGAAAAGTATCTGCTGCGCCAAATCTAATTTAAATTAAATAAATATATTTTTAATTTATTTTAAATATGTAGAGGGGGCCCCCATGACACCTTAAAGGGTCTCTTGGGGGCCCCCTGGAAGCTGAGGCGCACTGCAGAAACTTTGAAGCCTCGCTGGGCTGTTCTAGCTGCTGCCGGTGCTGCTGCAACGGACCTGCAGCAGCAGCAGCAGCAGCAGCAGCAGCAGCAGCAGACCCTTTAGGCTTCTGTTTGCTGCTGCATCGGCTGCTGCTGCCCTGCCTTATAAAGTAATGAGAGGGGCACAGAGGCTTTACCTGCAGCAGCTAAACATCCCCCCTTGCTTCTTAAATAGACGCAGCTAGCTAGCCACAGCTAGCTAGCCACAGCTAGCTAGCTAGCCACAGCTAGCTGCAGCTAGCTGCAGCTCACCATAGCTAGCCATAGCTAGCTACGGCTAGCCACGTTTAGCCAGAGTGAGGCGCAAGCAGTTGCTGCTAGCTGCGGAGTGCAGGCGCTCTTTGCTGCCCACAGAGGGTGGAGGCTCTCTACTGTCGCTTCTGCTGCTGCTGCTGCTGCTGCTGCTGCTGCTGCTGCTGCAGTGCACGGGCTGGCCGTGCAGGCAGCTGTGCAGCGCTGGATGTTACGAGCCCGGATTCGGGGCGAAGCAGCACTAGTGCAGCAGGCCCTAAACCCTAAACCCCAGTGAGCGAGGCCTCAGAAGAAGCCTAGGGTTTAGGGTTTAGGGTTTAGGGTTTGGAGTTGAGGCTGGCTGAGCGGAAACGCTGCAGCCAGATATCTGCGACAGGAGGAAGCAAACAGTCTCAGCTGCTGTCTTCGTTTCTTGCTGCTGCTCCAACTCCCCGTAGTGCCCTGAGCCCGTCAAGAGGCACCGCAAATAGACCCGTTGCTGCTGCTGCTGCTGCTGCTGCTGCTGCTGCTGCTGCTGCTGTTGGAAGCTAGAAAGAAGTGCTGCTAGTTTTGCTGCGTGCCACGGTGGGGTCCTCGTGTCGCTGAGAGTTGTTGTTAGCAGCACAGTTGGTAGGGGGTAAGGCAGCGGCGTTGCCTGCGGGCTTTGCTGCTGCTCTTGCTGCTTCACTTGCTGCTGTTGCTGCATTTGCTTCTGCTGCTGCTGCGCCTCCTGCTGCTGCTGCAGCAGCAAGAGTTGCTCGTAACAGGAATAAGCAGCAATGCTGCAGCAATCGGTTGCAGCCTCATCCTTGGCCACAGCTGCCCACACAGCCCATGGGTCGGTCTCATCCATTGCTGCAGCTCCGCTGCTGCTGCTGCTGCTGCTGCTGCTGCTGCTGCCGCTACACCGTGCATGCATGCAGCCCCACTCTTCGACCTCGAGTTGTGTTAAAGGCATTGAAGGGTCCTCCATGGCGGACCAGACATCGATGAAGGGCCTGTCCAGCAGCAAGCAACGTATCCAAGCCTCTCTTGGCTGCTGCTGTTGCTGCTGCTGCTGCTGCTGCTGCTGCTGCTGCTGCTGGCTGTCAGCGGGGCTGCGGGCTGGCAGAGCCGCGCTGCGCTTGCTGGATAGCAGCAGAGCAGCAGCAGCAACAGCACCCGCCGATGCTGCTTGCAGCGCTGTCGCCTGCGGGCTGCTGAGGCCTAGCGCATGCAAATAAGAAACAGCAGCAGCAGCATCTGCTGCTGTTTGGGACTTGTGGGGCCCCCTGCCGTCGCTTGCTGCTTCTCCCGGGACATCCCCTCCCCCCCGCGCATGCACGAAGCCAACAGCCCACCCTTGCTGCAGCAGCAGCGCAGCAGCAGCATCAAAAGCAGCAGCTAAGGGCTCCTTGTAGGCCCCGTAGACCTGCAGCAGCAAACTGCAGCGAGCAGCAGCAGCACCACCAACCGACCATGGGAAGCGCAGCAACAACGGCGAAGACGCCGGAAGCTGTACCAGGCTGCTGCAGCCAATGCTGCTGCTGCTGCAGCTATTGTTGCTGCTGCACTTGCTGCTGTTGCTGCTGCCTGTGCTTCTTCTGGCTTCCATGCATGAACTGAAGGCAAACGGCTGTGCTGCTGCATGTGCGTTTTCTGCTGTCTCTGCCAGGGGATGCAGTTGCTCTTGTTGTTGCTGCTGCAGCAGCTGCTGCTGCAGCTTCTGCTGCTGCTGCTGCGCCTGGAGGCAGGCTGCTGCTGCCTTGGGCAAGATAAGAGTTATTGGTATTAGTGCCTGGGCATCTCTCGAAGGGGCGAGCAAAACTTCAACAGCAAACTGAGAAGCAAAAGAGTCGGCTGCCCACTGCTGCTGCTGCTGCTGCTGCTGCTGCTGCTGCAGCCCTTGCGCCCAACGAGACCACCGCTTGATGCGCCCTGACAAGCCTACAGGGCTCATTGTGCTGCTGCTGCTAATGCTGCTGCTGCTGCGCCGACACTGGCTCCCTGTGACTGCTGCTGGCAAGCTAGCGCACAAAGCACGAATGTGCTGCAGCAGCTGAGGCTGCAGCAGCACCACCTGCTGCTGCTGCTGCAGCGAGAGGCTGCAGGAGGGCACATGCAGCCGCACAGAGACTGCAGGGTGCAGCGGCGTCTGCAGCAGCAGCAGCACCACTGCAGCACGAGGATTTGCGTTTGCTGCAGCAGAGAGAAGCCCTGCTCCTCCCAGCGGCAACGAGGCTTGCATAAAAGTAGTGGCTGGCACTGCTGCTGCTGCTGCTGCTGCTGCAGGGCTGTTCCACTTCGCTGCATTTGTGCAAGCAGCTGAAATCAGTGGCTGCTGCTGCTGCTGCTGCAGGGGCTGCTCATGAGAGCCCATCCTGCTTGCTGTTGCTGCAGCCTCCTCTTCGCTTCCAGTAGCTCCTGCACTACCCGCTTTGTGTGCTGCAGCAGCTGCTGGCGCTGTTGCAGCTGCAGCAGCATTTGCTGCTGCTGCCGTTGCTGCTGCAGCAGCTGCTGGCGCTGTTGCGGCTGCAGCAGCCTTTGCTGCTGCTGCCGTTGCTGCTGCAGCAGCAGGTGGTTTGATCACGAGAAGCACATTGCGAGCTGCCGACAGCTGCGCATACACCACAATGCCCTGCTGCATTACGTCAGCATCTCTCACCCGCAGCCCCTGCCCCCTGTAGAGCAGCAGCAGCGGCAGCTGCTGCTGCTGCTGCTGCGGCTGCTGCTGCTGCTGCTGCTGCTGCTGCTGCACACGCCCCCCCTCTTTCTCTGCGAATCCCTCGTGGGTAGGGCGCTGCTGACAGGAAGTGTTTGCCGGGTGTACGGACACCAGAGCACCTTGGTGCTGCTGCTCAGGTTCTGCTGCTGCTGCTGCTGCTGGTGCTGCTGATGCTGCTGCTGTGAGGGCAGCCTCAAGAAATTGCTGCTGCAGTGCGTAGCAGCCAAATTCGCCAGAGGGGCAGCAAATAAATAAGTAGACGAAGGCAGACCTGCAGCGTAGCGAACCCTGAAGAGTTGCCTATCATAAGCCGTAAGCCCTAAACCCTAAACCCTAAACCCTAAACCCTAAACCCTAAACCCTAAACCCTAAACCCTAAACGTAATGTGGTGCTTGCAAAGGATTAAACTCAGTTTCAGCACTTGGGGTGTACTTACACAGACTCGAAGAAGTGAGGAGTTCCACAAAAAAGCAGCCGAGGAGTTCCATAGGGGTCTTTCTCTCTGAAGCAGCAGCAGCAGCACCAACAGCAGCAGCAGCAGCAGTGAAAACCGCAGCAGCACATGCGCGTGAAGTTCGCCTGCAGCGACTCCCAGTTTGACTTTGCAGCACCCATGGCAGGCGTAGCAGCAGCAACAGTAGCACAAGCAGCGGCAGCAGCAGCAACAGCAGCAGCAGCAGCAGCAGCAGCAGCAAGCCATACCGAAGCGCCCAGGTGTACGTACAACTCCTGTTTGTTGCTGTGAAAAAGGTATAGAGTTTGTCTTTGCTCAGTCCCACGTCATAGTGAAGTGCCGGGACTGCAGCAGCTGCAGCCGAGCCTGCCTGCAGCAGCAGCAGCAGCAGCAGCAGCAGCAGCAATGGTAGCAGCAGCAGCACCAGCAAGGGCGTGGGGTCGAAGGAGGCAGCAGCAACAGCACCTATACAAAGGCTGCAGAGAAACTGCAGCACGAGATGCCCGGGCACAAGCACCACCCAACCAATGAGCAGCAGCAGCAGCAGCAGCAGCAGCAGCAGCAGCAAAAAAGGCAGACGCACAGCAACAGCAGCAACTCGCTCTTACAGGGGGCAGCAGCAGCTGCTTTTCCCGTAACACAAACGGAAAAGTCCACCTTAGCTGAGTTGTCTCCTCACAATCAGTGAGAATGTTGACTTCACATTGTACTGCTGCTGCTGCTGCTGCTGCAGTGTTTGTTGCTGCTGCTGCTGCTGCTGCAGTGTTTGTTGCTGCTGCTGCTGCAGCTGCAGGGGCCAGCTGCGAAGGACTGAAGCAGAGGCGAACAACTCGGGTGGCTCTTAGAGTTTTGCTGTCAACTTCCGACGCAAAGAGCACAAATGGCTGAGCAGCAGCAGCAGCAGTAGCAGCAGCAGCAGCAGCAGCAGAAGCAGCAGCAGGACGAAGGGGGGCTTCAGCAGTATATAAGCTTCCAGCTGCACCCCCGGCATTGGTGAAGTCTGCTGCTGCTGCTGGTGCTGCTCTGGCTGCTGCTGCCGCCGTTGCTGCCGTCGACCCTGCTGCTGCAGATGCTGCTGCTGCTGCTGCTTTTGCTGCGGGTGGATCGTGTGCTGCAGCTGCTTCTGCTGCTGCTGCAGCAGCACAAAATTCGATACCAGAGACATCCCTCACATCTGGGGCCGCAGGCAGCCACTCCCAAGGAGACAGCAGGTGTGGCGGCTGTCTTTCGCTGCCCTTGCTGCTGCTGCTGCACCTGCTGCTGCTGCTGCTGCTGCTGCTGCTGCTGCTGCTACACTGTTTGCTGCTGATCCGCAGCAACGCAAGCGGTCTGTCTGCGCCTTCCGGGTCGACTGAAATGCCAACAACGAGTCCTTTGTCTCCGCACACCCTCATGCTTCGCAGCACAGGGATTGCTGCTTGCTGCTGCTGCTGCTGCTGCTGTTGCTGCTGCTGCTGCTGCTGCTGCAGCTTGAATGCACCAAGGTCCAGGATCTGCTCCTCTCCCTCCAGCAGCAACGCAGTGGCTTCCTGCTGCAGCAACAGTCCCGTATCCCTGCCCCTCTGCTGCTGCAGCAGATCGAACAGCGACTCCAAAGGCTGCTGCTGTTGCTGCTGCTGCTGCTGCTGCTGCTGCTGCTGCTGCTGCTGTGGGAGGGGCTTGCGGCAGAGGACGGCGCATTCAGGGCAGAAGGGGGAAGGCCGGCAGTAATAGGCGAAGTCGCCAAGGACGTCAACAGGGATTTGTGCTGCTGCTGCTGCTGCTGCTGCTGCTGCTCTCAGTGCTGCTGCTGCCAGGCGCGGATGTACGGGCAGCTGCTGGAACTGCTGCTGCTGCTTCAGCGCCCGCAACGCACGCAGCTCCCACTGAATGTTCTCATCTTGCTGCTGCTGCTGCTGCTGCTGCTGCTGCTGCTGTTGGTGCTGCTGTGCACTGGCGGGGGAGGGGATCTCCGCAACGATTTGCTGCAGCGCTGCTGCTGTTGCTTCCACAGCAGCAGCAGCAGCAGCAGCAAACGCTTTGAACTGACCAACGGCACTCCCCACAGAAGCTGCGATCTGCTTCTGCTCGTCAGAAGCAACTGCGCTTGCTGCTGCTGCTGCTCCTGCTGCTGCCGCTCCTGCTGCTGCCGCTGCTGCTGCTATCCTACAGTCTTCATTGTCTGTGCAGAGTGGCTCAGCAGCAGCAGCAGCAGCTGCTGCTGCTTGCGGCAGCAGTTGCTGCAGCAGCCCTTCAGTCTGAAGGAAGCCTGCAGGGTCTCGTCGAGGACCCAGAAAAGGGTACCAGCGTGCTGCTGCTGCTGCTGCTGCAGTTGCTGCTGTGCTGCTGCTGCTGCCCGTGGTATCGGTCCTCCCCAAGCTGCTGCTGCTGCTGCTGCTGCAAAGCGTTCTGCTGTTACTGCTGCTGCAGCAAGCAGCACGAAGACCCCGTGTGACGCATGTGGATATGCAGGCAAACTTGTGTCTCCTTGCCGCTCCTGCTGCTGCTGCTGCCTTCGCTGCTGCTGCCTTTGCTGCTGCTGCCGTTGCTGCTGCTGCTGCTGCTGCTCTTGCTGCTGCTGGCCGCGGGCACTTGGCGGCGCGAGAGTGAAAGGCAGCAAAGGCTAGAGAGGAGGTGTCTGTACACCTGGAGACTCGCTGCAGAGACATCAGCCTACTGCTGCACATCCGCAACAGCAGCAGCAGCAGCTGCTGCTGTTGCTGCAGCTGCTGCTGCTGTTGCTGCAGCTGCTGTTGCTGCAGCTGCTGCAGGTTTTGCTGCAGCTGACGCTATTGTTACTGCGGCTGCAGCTGATGTTGCTGTTACTGCGGCTGCAGCTGCGGTTACTGCAGGTGCTGCTGCTCTTGCTGCAGCTCGTGTTGCTGCTGCTGCTGCTGCTGTGGCTGCGGCTGCTATTGCTGCTGCCACTGCTGCAGGTGCTGCTGCGTCTGCTGCAACTGGAGCTGCTGCTGCTGTGCATGCAGCATCTTCAGTTAGTCACAAATATAGCAGCAAGTCTCACATAATAGGTTGCAGCAGATCTTCACGCAGCAGGGACAGCAGCAACAGCAGCTGCTGCTGCTTTGCTGCTGCCACCATGGGCTGCTGCAGTAACAGCAGGGGCAGCAGCAGCGGCAGCAGCAGCAGGGACGGCAGCAGCAGCAGCAGAGACAGCAGCTACACCTGATGTCCAGACACACGAAGAGACCGCAGCACTTATGTGCAGATCCTTTATAGCCGCAGCTGAGTGGCTAGCTCCGCTGCTGCTCTCGATATTGCTGCTGCTGCTGCTGCTGCTGCTGCTGCCTTTGCTGCTGCTGCCTTTGATGCTGCTACCAGGTAGGCTTCAGCAGCAGATGTGTGTCTAAATTCCTTGCTACTATACCAGCGCCAACAACAGCAGCAGCAGCAGCACTTGTGTGGGGCCCCTCAACGTAGAATCTACTGAATTCTTCGCTGCTGCTGCTGCTGCTGCTGCTGCTGCAGTTGGTAGTAGTGCTGCTTCTACGCAGCGCTATGGCTACGAATAATAAGGGAAAACGCAGGCTGTGCTTGAGCGGAGGGGCTCGTTCTGCTGCTGCAGCTACTGCTGCTGCCACTGCTGCAGCAGCGCTGCTGCAGCAGTCAAGACAAGGACCTGCTGCTGCTGCTGCTACTGCTGCTACTTCTACTCCCCGCGTTATTTGTTTTGTATTTCCCTAAAACCATTTTCTTAATCTTTCCTGCTCCTCACATTTCTTTCACCTCGACACTACTGCTGCTGCTGCTGCTGCTGCTGCTGCTGCTGCTGCACGGCGAAGCCTCGATTCTGCAGGGGGCCTTTTCGCCGTTGCTTCAGCGCACGACCTGCAGCAAGCAAAGTATGTTCAGCAGCAAACGATAAGCCAGTTTGGCTAGCGAAGCAGCGGCAGCAGCAGCAGCAGCAGCAGCAGCAGCAGCACCGCCTGCAGAGTCAAGGCAGGTGATCAAACTTAGCTGCGCAACCAGCAGCAGCAGCAACAGCAGCAGCAGCAGCAGCAGCAGCGGAAATGGAAGAGCCAGAAGCGACAACGGCTCGTTTTGTTCCCTGTTCGGTCTGCAGCAGCAGCTCGGGCAGCAGCTGCATTTGCTGCTCTGCAGCAGAACCCCACCGGCAGCCGCTGCTGCTGTCTGCTGCAGCAGCAGAAGCAACAGCAGCGCTGCTTCAGCAGCAGCCCGCGTGGCGCCGTGTTGCGCTGCTGCTGCCGCAGGATCGCCTGGGCGAGGCGCCAGCCTTCCTCGCAACCTTCAAGGAGAAATGGCAGCAGCAGCAGCAGCAGCAGCAGCAGCAGCAGCAGCAGCAGGAGCCTCCGCTGCTGTACTTTGTGTCTGACCGGCCTGCGGGCTTTTGCTGCAGCGATCTCAGCAGCGCTGCTGTGCTGTCCCCAGACTTGCTGCTGTCTGCTGCTGCTTCCTGCTGCTGCTGCCACGCTGCTGCTGCAGTGCCGCGGCCAACGCTGTACCTCTCTCCGCGGAGCCCTGTTGCTGTTTCTTGCTGCGCTGCAGCAATAGCAGCAAAGCACTCTGCTGCAGCAGCAGCTGCTGCTGCTGCTGCTGTGGGGTCCCCAACTTCAGCAGCAGCAGAAGCAGCAGCAGCTCTCGTGCTGCTTCCGGACTCCTCAGTGCAGCATGGCTTGGGCTGTTTGCTGCGGCATCTGCTGCAGCAGTTTGCTGCTGCAGCAGACACGCAGCCAACTTCCAGCGGCAGCACAACGCCTGCGCTGTCTCCCTCTCCTGCAGGCAGCGGGCCGCTTCCTGCTGCTGCTGCTGTTGACGCTGCTGCTGCTGCTGCTGGTGCAGCAGCAGCAGCAGCAGCAGCGCAGCAAAGGTGCACTTGCAGGTGGGAACGCACGGGAATCTTTGCTGCTCTTGCCCCCTGCATGCTGCTGCCTGCAGCTGACCTTGCTGCAGCAGAAGCCACGGCTGGGCGGCTCGCAGCAGCAGCAGCAGCAGCAGCAGCAGCTGCTGCTGCTGCTACAGCAGCAACTGAAGCAGCAGTCGACTCGCACAGCTTCGGCCGCTGCGGTGCGGCCTGTGCAGAGCACATGACGGGCTGCCTTTTAGTGCAGCAGCAAGAGCAGCAACAGCAGCAGCAGCAGCAGCAGCAGCAGCAGCAGCAGTTTCTGCCTACAGATGCAGCAGTGCAGCAATATGCGGAACTCTTTAAGCTGCCAGGAATGAGGGCCTCGCAGCTGTGCTTCCTGAGGCCTTGTCCTTTCCGGGAAGCTCCCCCTGCAGCAGCAGCAGCAGCAGCAGCAGCAGCAGCAGCAGCATGTGGAGGATCTCGGCAGCTAGAAACCATAAAGGCGCAGCAGTTTGTGCGCGTCTGCGGCAGAGTTTTATTTGAAGTCAAAAGGCGGTCAGAAGACGGGGCCATAGGCCTCTCCCCAGTGCCGCAGCAGCAGCAGCAGCAGCAGCAGCTGCTGCTGCTGCAGCAGCAGCAGAGGAGTCAAAGGAGGCACAGGAAGCAAAATGCAACTAAGCTGCAGGACCCAACGACTTTGCCGCAGCTCTTAAATGCTGCTTCTGTCACTGTGGTCTACCTTGGCCCCTTGGGGGATACGCAGCAGCAGCAGCAGCAGCAGCAGCAGCAGCAGCAGCAGGAAGAAGGGAGCAGCGGGTGTGCGTACGAGAAGCTGCTGCAGCAGCAGCGAAGGCTTTCTGCTGCAGTTGTGGATATACGTCCGCCCCCGCTGCTGCTGCGGCTGCTGCTGCGCCACGGCAGCAGCTGCAGCGTCTTCTCTATAGACCCTTCCCTGCTCTCTCAGCAGCAGCAGCAGCAGCAGCAGCAGCAGCAGCATAAGCAGCAGCAGCAGCAGTGCCCAGGTGCTTTGAGTGACGATTTGGCGCCATCAGGGGAACCCAGGAGAACCCGCAGCAGCAGCTATAGCAGCTGCAGCAGCAGGGACAGCGACTGGTACGGGGACCTGCTGGTGGACGAAGGGCCCCGAGTTTCTGCGCAGCTCGGGCGCAGTTTTGCTGCAGCAGCAAAACTGGGTGCAGCAAGCCGCGCAGCAGCAGCAGCAGCAGCAGCAGGCCTGACTGCAGCAAATCAAGTGATGATGCTGCTGGTGGGGCAGCAGACCTGCTCCTCGCTGCTGGTGCAGCGGCTGCTGCTGCAGCTGATAACCCGGCGGCTGGCAGCTGCAGCAGCAGCAGCAGCAGCAGAAGACGAGCAGGACAGCAGCAGCAGCAGTAGCAGCGAAGACGAGGAGGAAGACTTAAGGGACCCGCAGCAGCAGCAGCAGCTGCTGCAGCAGCTGCAGCAGGCGTACATATCTGTTGCTGTAGGCGATGTAACTGCAGCAAAGCTGCTGAACTACAGAGAAGCCCTGGGCTTCTGCGTGCTGGGCTGCACAAGCTGCTGCTTGCTGCTGCAGCAGCAGCAGAAGCAAATTGGCTACGGGGGCCCCCTGCTGCTGCCCATAGACATTCTCACAGGTTTGGGTCTTGCGAGGCCCTCACCCCACAGGCTGGTGGAGAGCGAGGAGTTGCTGCTGCTGCTGCAGCAGCTTGAGCAGCAGGAGCAGCAGCTGGAGCAGCAGCAGCAGCAACAGCAACCTGACGACGCTGCTGCACTCGCCCTACACAGCAGCAGCAGCAGCAGCAGCAGGGCTCTTGTCTCCGCGTTTTCTATGGATTCGCTGCTGCAGCAAAGCCAAAGAAGCTACAGAGGAGTGCTTTACAAAAGAGAAGAAGACGCAGAGCAGCAGCAGCAGCAGCAGCAGCAGCAGCAGCCGCAGATCCTCCAAGGGAGGCACGGCATCGCCAGTGGCTATGCTGACGAGCAGCAGCACCAGCAGCAGCACCAGCAGCAACAATAGCAGCAGCAGCTGCTGCTGCTGCAGCAGCAGACTGTGCTGCGTCTGGCAAAGCCCGGGCCTCCTCTGTGGCTAGCGGCCGTAGCTAGCTGCTGCTGCTGCTGCTGCTGCTGCTGCTGCTGCTGGCTGCTCTCGTCGGAACTGCCTTTATTGGCTAGCTGCGGCTGATGTAGCTAGCCGTAGCGGCAATGGCTCTCATTTGCTGCAGTTGCTGCTGTGGCTATTATTTGCTGCAGTTGCTGCTGTGGCCAGCGTTTGCTGCAGTTGCTGCTGCGGTTAGCTGCGGCTGCTGTAGCTAGCTGCGGCTGCTGTGGCTAGCTGATGCTGCAGTGGCTAGCTCTTGCTGCTGCGGCTAGCTGCTGCTGCATCGGCTGCTGCGGCTGGCAATTTGCTGCAGCTGCTGCTGCAGGAAGCTGTTGCTGCTGCGGCTGGCCTCTGCTGCTGCAGCTAGCTGTTTATTGGGTCCTAATTCCTTTAAGAAGAATGAAAAAGAAGAAAGAAGCAGCAGCAGAAAGGGATGAGCAGCAGCAGCAGCAGCAAAAAGAAACGAACTGCAGCAGCAAACGGAGATGAGCAGCAGCGGCAAATAGAAGAGAAAAGCAGCAGCCTTCGAGACCATGTGCAGCAGCAATAAGATATGGGCAGCAGCAGAAGAGACAAAGAGCGGCAGCAAAAAGAGAGACACAGCAGCAAAAGGATATGAGCAGCAGCAGCAACAGCAGCAGCAGCAGAAGCAGCAAAGAGAAGCAGCAAAAAGAAACAAGCAGCAGCAAAGAGCGTCAAAGCCTACTACAGTCTATATTTTTTCCATTCATACCCCAACTATAAAT